TAATTTTGTGCTCTTCACACGCTCCCTCCCCAAGCCCTTATACTGCCCTCTGCCCCTCACTTAGGGCCTGAGCCATGGAATTGGCCCTAGGGCAGCAGGAACCTGTTGTTTCAGAAGTCGGTGACCTTCGAGGACGTGGCCGTGTACTTCACCCCGACGGAATGGGATGGCCTGTCCCCTGCACAGAGGGCCCTGTACAGGGATGTGATGCTGGAGAATTATGGGAATGTGGCCTCACTGGGTAAGGCCTGCACCCTGGGACCCAGACTCTGCTGATTGGGGTTTCCTGGGTTCCTTTTCCTTTCCTCTGTAGGTGGGGTCTCCGGTAATCCTTTACTGAGTGGGAACACCAGGGGATGAGATTCTTAATCCCTGAAACCCAGAGGTCTGGGAAGGGCAAACCCCACGTCTTTTTTGAGCCAATATAAGACTTCGTTGGGGCTAGTGTGTACTCTTGATCCACCTTGTAGAGGCTGGCTGTATTTTTCCACAGTGTGGAAAAAGTAACTTCCGTTCCCCTCCTCACCCTTTCTGCATCTTAGGTCTTTCCAAGGGTGTTAGTGTTCTCTGACTATCTCAGGCCAGCATCAAAAAATGATATCCCTTTGGGCAGAATCTCTGTTTGCTCTGCATGAGGTCTCCTTTCAAGTACCCCCTTCCTAGTCCTTATGCACGGACACTGTTGGGTTCTTACCTTTCTTCTTCATTGCTGAGACAATCTGAGAATAGGCTTAGGAACTCACCTGTGGGAGGTTATTCATCTTTCTCTCCTATTTCTTTTTACCCAAAACAGGATTTCCACTTCTCAAACCTGCTGTGATCTCACAACTGGAGGAAAGAAGTGAGCTGGAGGGCCCATCTCCACTGGCTGCTGGAACAGGCACAGGCCCCCCAGACCTCCGGACTGGTAAGGGAGGCACATATTGCCCATTAGGATGGAAAGTTTAATTCTGTAGAAATAAAGTCGACTTTAGCAACATATAAGCATACCACATTTCTTGACCAGCTGTACAGAGTGAAATAAATTTTGATGATTTGTAGAAATAGGTACAGTAGAGACTTTTCTATTTTCACAGTCTATTTCTAATTTCAAGAACATCATTTTTGAAATGCCTCATTCTAACTTTTTAAAATCCTAACTTTGGAATTCTACCTTTTGCAGAAAAGAATGAGTGAATTAAGTAATTTTCGGGCGTTATTGCTGTTTTTCTAAGCATTGTCCATTTAATGCAGAGGATACATAATTAACATTCTTTTTACACAGAAAGGCAAAATAGCCTGGTGGTTAAAATTGGCTCGAGCAGAGTAGCTGCCAGATGACTTCCCATTTCCCATGAGGCCCAGAGTTACAGGTTTTGAAGCAGACTTTCTAAGGTCCATTGCCGACTCTGCTACTTCCTAGTTGTGTGACTTTGAGCAGGTCAGTTATTTAGTTCTCCAAGAGTCGATGTTTTCATCCCTGATAATGGAATATTAATAATAAAACTAGATAATATTACTAGTCTTACGGGTTAAGGATTAAATGAGCTAACAAATTAAATGAGATAACATATATCACGTGCCTGGTTTATAGAATGTGCTCAATGATATAGTTTTTATTATTTTTGTTTTTTTGGAGGTGACAGCACTGTATCAAATAGCCATCTCCACTGCAAGAGAGTTTTTAGCTGTAGTTTTTATAGCTACCTCATAAAAAATGGAGAATGCGCTAGTAAGGAAGAAAGGAAAAATGTATATTGGTTAAATTACCAATAACATCTGCCACACCACAGAATTTGGTAAATGGAAGGTAGCTAGTGTAAAAAAATTAGCAAAGAATGTAAGTTGTTGATCCACATAAGAATTATGTATTTTAATCATTGTTAAAAATGTTCACCCTCAGTAGAAACCAGTGAAATAAAAATTAAAATAATGAGATGTTTCACCTATCATATTGAAAACAATTAAATTATAGGAAGTATTGGCAAGAGTACAGCAAAACAAGAGGTGAATATGAATCATTAGTCTTTCTAGAAAGTACTTCAGCAGTACATAGCAAAAGCCTTTTAAAATCTTGTACTTGATAACTGGGAAAGTCCCTTTTACGGCTATATCCTAATAAAGTAATCAGAGATAATAGACAATACATGTGCACAAAAGTTTGTCATAATGTTTTATAATACTGGCAATGTGAATTATTGACATAGAATGGTTAAATTAAGGTACCTCTCAAAAGGTACAAACTTCCAGTTATAAGATAAATAAGTATTAGGGGTGAAATGTACATGATAACTATACCTAACACTGCTGTACAATATATAGTAAAGTTATTAAGAGAATAAATCTTGAGAGTTTTCATCACAAGGGAATTTTTTTTCCTTTTTTCCTTTTTTAATATTGTATACATACGAGAAGGTGGATGTTAGTTGAACCTATATATACGTAAATCAAACCATCATATTGTACACCTTAAACTTATACAGTGATGTATGTCAATTATTTCTCAATAAAACGTGAAAAATTAAGGTACCTCTGTAAGATAGAGCATTATTTAGCAATTTTAAAATATATTCTTACAGGATATTTAAAGATATTGGAAAATCATTGTTAATGTGAAGGAAGAAAAAGTTCATTTCTTAAAATGTTTTGAGAAAAAATGATTGGAAGGAAAATGATTGGGGAAGAGATACTTCAGATCAGCAGTAGTTATTGTTCGGTGATTGTATTTCACATAATTGAATTTTCTTTTGTGTAAGTTTCTGATACTATAGATGGGTATTATTTTTATAATCAGGAAAAGATCAATATTTAGAAAAAATATCAGTATTTAGAAAATGCTTGCTAGGGAGAACCAGGTCATTTGGGTTTTTTGGGGGTGATCATAATGAGGTACTGGGGTAGGAGGCTATTACATCTGGTTGAAAAGAGATGAGAGATCAAAATAAAGGTAGCATTTTTGGCCCAATTTTGAAAATTTGGGAACAAATGCAGAGATCAGTAGCTCTATTGGGACTATAGGGATTATAAAAGTTTAATCCGTTTATAGAAAGAATTTTAGGGGATGACCAATTTTAGGATTGAGGGAAGAGGTAAAAGGAAAGGCAAGGAGAATGCAGCAGTGTTCTGGAAGAGGTGGGAAGAGATTGGATCAAAGGGATCAAATGAGCCTAAACAAAGCCTTTCTGAAGTAGAGAAAAAGATGAGAGGAGAAATTTTGGAAAGCCTAGGGTTTAAGTTTTAAGGAAGGAAACAAAATTCTTTCCTTTTTGCTTCCTGGTGCTGCTAACATTTGCCATCCCCAGTGTTGCCACATGTTGTTGGATCCTGTACCTTTTCCTTCTTAAGCAATTTCCATTTTTATTAGCAAGGGACTTAGCAACATAAGGATAACTGAGAAAAAAACTCAGAGTGTAGTAAAGTATGGTGATGGAAAGAATGCTCATTTGGTGGATAAGACCTAGAATTTTGTTCCACTGCTGTCACCTTTAGCCTTCATGTTATTGGTTATTGGTGTAGAGACTGGCAATCTCTTAAAATCATTACTTTAAAACTTATAACATTGGCACATGCTCAAAACAGTCTGAAGGTATATAAAGTGCGGGGAAGAAATCTACCAACTTACTGTGCTAGTTTGCTTTCTCTTGTGCATTCTTCCAGAGGTTTTCTAGGCATATACAAATGTATATGTCAGCCCTTATTTATTTTCCTTTACACAAATAGAATCTATTGTACATATCATTTCTCAACTTGTTTTTCCATGTAACAGTGTATCTTGAGCATCTTTTCTTATTGGCATATATGGATTTATTTTCTTACCAGCTACATATAATTCCACTTATGGATGAACCTTAGATTTTTTGACCTAGTCTGGTGATTTTAAAGAGCCCTTTGATTACTGTGATCCCTTATTCTTTCTAATAGTTTTCTCTTTTTTTTTTTCCTAACATGGTTATTACATGACATTTTATGTTTTATTTCTTATAGTAGATATTGATATCCAGACTGAGAATAATACGACAAAGGAAACATATGAGGAAAAATACAATTCATCATTTGTACTTCATGGTGACTTTTCCCAGGAAACAGACTTTTCAGAAGCCTGTGTTCTAGAAAAAGAACAGTGGGAAGTCCACTCAGTAGGAAGTATGAAGAAAGAAAACAGTGTCATTGATGGAACAGTGAAAGACAACACAAGCACCATAGAGGAGTGTTTCTTCAGTCAGAGTCCAGATTGGAATCAGTATCATACCATCATCTCCACTGGAGAGCAGCCTCCTGAGTATACAGGATTGAAGAAAGCCTTGAGCTTTGACACAAAACTTATTCATCATGAAATAAGTAATTCCAGGGAAAGACCTGAATGTGAAGAATTAATGGAAACGTTTAGGTATAATACTCAACTTAATCAACATCAAGATAGCTACCATGGGGAGAAGCCCTATCAGTGTAAGGAATGTGGTAAAGCCTTTAGTGTTAATGCAAAATTAATCTGGCATCAAAGACTTCATAGTGGAGAGAAACCCTTCAAATGTGTGGAGTGTGGGAAAAGCTTCAGCTACAGTTCCCATTACATCACACATCAGACAATACACAGTGGGGAAAAACCCTATCAGTGTAAGGTGTGTGGGAAAGCTTTCAGTGTTAATGGGAGTCTAAGCAGGCATCAAAAAATCCATACAGGAGAGAAGCCCTATCAGTGCAAGGAGTGTGGAAATGGCTTCAGCTGCAGTTCTGCATATATCACACATCAGAGAGTTCACACTGGGGAGAAACCTTATGAGTGTAATGACTGTGGGAAAGCTTTCAATGTTAATGCAAAATTAATTCAACACCAGAGGATTCACACTGGAGAGAAACCTTATGAATGTAATGATTGTGGGAAAGGCTTCAGGTGCAGCTCCCAGCTCAGGCAGCATCAGAGCATCCACACTGGAGAGAAGCCTTATCAATGTAATGAGTGTGGGAAAGCCTTCAGTAGTAATACAAAACTCATTCAGCATCAGAGAATCCATACCGGAGAGAAACCTTACGCATGTAGTGAATGTGGAAAAGCCTTTAGTGTCAAAGGGAAGTTAATCCAACACCAGAGAATCCACACGGGTGAGAAGCCCTATGTGTGTAATGAATGTGGGAAAGCCTTCAGATGTAACTCCCAGCTTCGGCAGCATCTGAGAATCCATACTGGGGAGAAGCCCTATGAGTGTAATGAGTGTGGAAAGGCCTTCAATGTCAATGCAAAACTAATGCAGCATCGGAGGATTCACACTGGGGAGAAACCCTTTGAATGTAATGAGTGTGCAAAATGCTTTACTTCTAAAAGAAACCTACTCGATCATCACCGAATCCATACTGGAGAAAAGCCTTATCAATGTAAGGAATGTGGGAAAGCCTTCAGTATCAATGCCAAACTAACTAGGCATCAGCGAATACACACCGGGGAGAAACCTTTCAAATGTATGGAATGTGAGAAAGCATTTGGCTGTAGTTCTGACTATATTGTACATCAGAGAATTCATACAGGAGAGAAACCCTTTCAGTGTAAGGAGTGTGGAAAAGCCTTCCATGTTAATGCCCACTTAATTCGGCATCAGAGAAGCCACACTGGGGATAAACCTTTCAGGTGTGGGGAGTGTGGCAAAGGCTTCAGCTATAGTTCTGACTGTATTATACATCAGACTGTCCATACGTGGAAGAAACCATATGTGTGTAATGTGTGCGGGAAAGCCTTCAGATTTAGCTTCCAACTCAGTCAGCATCAGAGTGTCCATAGTGAAGGAAAATCCTGAGAAGGATGTAGAAAGCTCAAGGTTAATGCTGAACAAAATCAGATTCACCCTGATGGAAAACTCAGAAAAATGAATATGGCAGAGTCTTCACATGGGAACAAATGATTTTCATTTTATTCAATTTTAAATCAGGAATGATGACCAATTAAAAAGTAACATTCAAAAATGAAGTTTGACGTCAACAGCCAATTTGAAAATATAATGAAAGAAAATATCCCATTCCCAACACCATTAAGAAAAGTAGATTTTCTAGGAATAAACTTAATTATTATGCAGGATCTAGAAAAATACGTGGGGAGGAAGAGGAAACTCGTTCTTGGGTAGGAAAACAACTAAAGATATTCACTCTATCTAAATTAATTTATTTCCCTTCCATTTTTGGCAACAAGCATGCATCATTTTTGTAGAGAAGAAAGACAATAAAGATTTCCTTTAAAAGTAAAATGTTTTCTTTTTTACTATTTTCATGAAATAGAGAAAACCTATCTATAAGCATAAGATAAAAGCTAGAAACCAACCATAAGGAAAGATGTTGATAAATCTTCTTTTCAAAATTAAGTATTTATGGTTTTGTTTTAAGTAATCCCAAGTAAGCTTAAAAGATAAAGCACAAAAAGTGGAAATACCTTTGTAAAACTTGTGATATGAAAGTGTAATATCTAATATGCAAAGAAGTCTTACCATTAAGAGAAAGATAAAAGGTCTAACAATACCCAGCTAATGACACTAGCATGCAGCTTTAAAAAAATGTTTAAAAGATACTAAAAAAAAAAAATATGTAAAGTAAGACGTTCAGTTTTGGTAGTACTCCAAGGAATGAAAATTAAAGCAGACACACACACACAGGAAGCCCCCAAACTTCTCTCCCACAGACACAACAGGTACACACAGACCATCCTATAGACATACACAGACTCCTATACACATAGACACATAGAGACAGAGGCCACCTCCCCACCCCAGACATACCTTCCCCTGTATTCTCTGTAGCTTGAGTTATCAATGTTGGCTGGCATTGCCATCTTGAGTAATTCAAAGGAACCATTCCTGTCAGAAACCCAATGACGTGGTCTAGGATTTCAGCAGAATGTCCCCGAGATGCCACTGTATAAGTCCTTCTCTCCCTCATCCCCAGGCTTCTGGGAGTCAAGCATGTGTGGAGGCAGGCCCTGGAGCCCTAGAACAGAAGAGAGAGCAAGGCCCTTCTTCCCTCTGACCTTCTGGCCCTGCTCTTCTGGAAAGCTCCAGACTATGTGCACTGAGACCCCAAAATGTCCCAGGCCATGGGGTCCAGGACCATTTACTTAGAGAAAGTGAGGTCCAAAGGTGGATGGCACTCTCCCTGGTTACGCAGTAAATCTGTAGCTGATGTCACTTAACCAAGTCAGAGAAGAGGTCAGAAGGCCACAGCTCACTCCAACCCTCCTGATTCATGAACAGCCTTTAGCTGTTTTCTGGATGTGGCAATCAGGGGTGATGAGGACAGGAAGTCCTGCAGTTCTGGTACCCAGCATGGTCTGGCAGTTTCTGCTATGTTAAGACCTAGGACAGGGCTCTAGAAGGATTAATCGTCACTGAGGAGAGAACCTGATGTCCCAGATCTGCCACCAATGTTTTGTGCGACCTTGGCCTTTCTGAGTCTCAGGCTCCTGGTCCGCTCAGGGTGGGGGTGGGGAGGTTTGTCCCAGGACTCAAGGTCCTTTCCTCCTGGATGGTTCATGAGGGATTTCTCTTTCTCTGTAGGTTTGTCATTCTCAAGGACAGGTCCTTCTGTCAAAATCCCAAGTACACGAGGAGAAGGCAGACGCCTGCAAAGCCCTATGAAGTCCTGTGGCCCCATCACTCAGCTCCCTGGGTCCAGTGGAGGCCTATGGGGACAAAAAGGAGCCGTAGTACTGGAAACCCCAATCCCCTCACAAAAGCACTTAATTTCTAAACTGGAGCCATGGACCAGGAAGAGCTAGGGTGAAATCAAGTGTTTCTCCCTCATTCTGAGTCAGTGTGTTCTGTCCCTACAGCATAGAACACCTCCACCCTAGCTTGTCACACTAGAAGGGCCCTCAGAGGACATCTGGTCCGGCCTTGTCCAGGTTAGGAGGAGAAATCGAGGCTTACAGGAAAACATGGGTGCCCCAGGGCACCCCGCAGATCAGATCCTGGTGAGAGGGCCAAAGCAGGGCGGGTCTGGGAAGGTTTATGGGGGGTGGAGGCAGGGCTCAATGTCATCTTAGGGGGTGGGGAAAAGAAGTGCAGCACAGCTCCCCCTGGGCTGGCGGCCCTCTTCTCCTTGCGATGGGGCCCGAAGTTCTGAGAAGAGGCTTCTGGGCTCAGCCCCTGAAGTCCCCATTCGCCCCAGACCTCAACACCATTTGTCTATCTTCTAACAAGGAACTGAGAACGCCCTTCCCCTTACACAGTTCATTCAATTCAATTGAACGTTGTAGAAGGCAGGCCCCTTCCACAGGCCAAGTGCTGGAGAACCTTAAGATGGGCGAACCTCGGCCTTCCTGGCCCCTTCCCCAGCTCTCAGGCGCCATATGCACCACAGACCACGTGGTCTCAGCAAACCTCACAGCTCCCAGGACTCCCCGGGCTCAAGTCCCGGGGCCGAGCCCACTCTGTGGAGTTCTGGGTTCTCCGCCTGCTCTCCGGCTGCCCGCGGCCCGAGCCTTCCTCCTGCTCCAGCTTCCCCTCACACTGCTCGCGAGCAGTGCCGCGCGCAGGCTGCCGCCCCGCTTCTTCCCTCCCCGTTGGCTCCTGTGATCCTGAAGGGTGGCCCCCACCCCCTCAGGGCCACCGAGATCCCACCCACGCTCAGCCCGAGCCCAGCCTCCAGGAAGCCCTCCTCCGCTGCACGGCGGCGCGGCGCCGCTGCCCGCCGCTTCCCTTCAGCCCGCCACGGTAAGGCGTACTTCCGCGTGTCTGCTGTCGGGCTCCGGCCGGACAGACCGGAGCCCACGTGCTCCCAGCGCGGGTGGCCGCGAGGCTCCGGATCCCACCCGCCCTGCGCTGCCGGCGCGCGGTGTGGGGAGCGCGGGGCGGCCTTCCGCGGCCACCCTTCACCCCTCCGCCGGCCTGGGGCGCGCGCCTTCTTGCTCTGGGACTGTTTCGGCCTCCGTGTGAGGAAGAACAGGGACGTCGGGCCTGCGAGTCCGGGACTCTGAGACCTGCACTTGGGCGGGGAGAAGCCATTAGGAGTCATTGGCAGCCAGCCTCGGCCTGCTGCTGCCTCTGGTGGCCAGTTCGCTTACTGCAGGGCAGGGGCCACCCCAGCTTGCTCCCCTGCAGCGGCAGGAGGAAAACACTGATCCGGCTGCCCCCGGGGGGCGCCACTCCCTGCCCTCATGCGAAGGAGTACCCCTTGATCAGAGTCCTGGGGCAGCCCGGACTGAGCGTTTGGTGGAAGTCTCTTGTAGATCTGCTGAGGGCGAAGGTGAGGAAAGACCCGGGAGGCCTGCAGGGGACCCTCACCACACGGAGCTGGGCCGGGGCGGGACTCCGCACCCTGCAGTCCAGAGTTGGAAGGATTCTCAGAGCGGTAAGTCCAGCGCATTGCGAACTCTTCTTAAAAGAAGCATAATCTTTTTAACCCTTAATAAAATCTTACTCAGAGATGCATATCGTAAACTCTCAAAAGTCGGACTGCTGTGGAGGACAGTGAGGACGGGCCAGTTGCCAGCGCTGCCCCACGAGTGAAGAGCAGGGAGCTTTGCTTAAAGGTCCCTTGGGAGGTGGGAGGTGGGTCCAGGACAGAAGTCGGAATGCAGGATTCAGAATCCAAGCGTTCCATAGCAGGGCCGCGGGTGTGAGGCGGATAAGAACAATACAAGATGGAGGAGATGGGACCCGCCACCATGCTCCCCTGGGAAGGGCACATGGTAAGGAATGGTTGTTGGAGGTTCTCTTGACAGGACGGGAGGAAAAGAGAGGATGCACAGGGACCAGGTGAACAGTGAGGAGGGGCCCGGTCACGCTATGCAGTGTCCCTTCTACCCGGAGGACTCCTTTTCTTCACACTGAGCTCACCCCGCCTTTGTTGGCCTCCCTAGTCTCCTTGATCAGCATTGCCTGCTCCGTGCCCTCCCCCAGCTCTCTGCTCTCACATCCGTCTAATCTTTCCCACTCTCTGCCCCACCCCTCTACTTGTTTCTGCTGGTTTACCGGTTCTCCCCTGGGCCGCAAGCTCACTGGGGAGCAGCTTTTGGGACTAGGGAGGACCTTGCTCGTAAATAAGTTCGGTTGAGTGGATGTCAGTGAATCAGTAAGATAAGTATTTTGTGCCTGTGTTTATATGGTTAATATATTTTCATCAACCACACGCGTTCAAGTGAATTCCCAGGGGGCTCTAGTGCTGGGTGGGTTGGGGATGGGGGAGCAGTACGGTGAGCACAGCCATCAAGTGTATAGGACTATGAGCGCAAACACCTTACAGGTGGTAAGAACTGGGCTTCTCTCCAATTGCCCACCAGAGGACGCTCTAGCCTCCAAATAAAGATCCGGAGGCTGATGCTATTTGAGGTCGGGCTGTGAAGCAAACTCTGGCCTTAGTGTTAGCCCACCAAGTACTGGGGTTCTCCCACCCCACCAACTTTGGCTAGAGCTGGCCAGGGTCTGGGCAAGGGCACCTACAGCTTGCTGGCTCTTCTCCTAGGGAAGCAAAGGTAAGAAAACCACCAGCTAAACTGCCCGAGGCCAATGAATGAGAAAGACACTAGAACAGAAAAGGCCATTTGGTGGAGGGCTGGGCCTGTGGCAGGAGGTGAATAGGGGTGGGAGGAGCAGAGCAGGAGAGGATCTGGCTTCACCATCCCTTCCCCTCCTGCCAGAAAGGGACCACCAGACAGAGGGGTAAGGCAGTACTTCTCAAATGGGGTCCCCAGACCAGCAGTAGCGGCATCAGCATCACATAGGTCCTTGTTAGAAATACAGTCTTGGGCTCTACCCTAGAATCAGAATCTCTAGAGGTTGGCCCAGCACTCTGTTTTTACAAGCCTTCCAGGAAGTTCTGATGAGTGCCCAAATTTAAGAACCACCAGATGAAACAGCCGCAGAAAAGAAAGGCTTTCCTGGTCTTCACTTTCAGAGACACCAGTGAAGAGAGGTCAGAGATCACAGAGTCAGGCCTGCTCAAGCCAGAAAAGGGAGGAGAAAAGGAAAAGTGACCCCTTCTCCCTCCCATAATCATCCATATTGGTGTCAGCTCAAAGCCAGCCTTCCCAAGCAAAAGGAATTCACCCGGGGATGAAAATTTGAAATGGTTCTTGTGTACAGTCCAACTTAACCCTCCCTCATTGTGCAAATGATGGCTCTTGTGGGACAGCCCCAACCCGATTCAAAGACTTGTCCCTCTAAAATTTCTCACTCCATTTTGCCTCTTTCCATGAATTGACCTGGCAGAGATCCCTGTCTTTCCCCTCATCCAAGGACAAAACAGTTAATCTTAATCAGAAATGCTAGCCCAGCAGAAGCTCTTCATTGGCTGTGGTTGTAGCCACGCCCAGTAAACAAGCCATTCAAGGCCCAGACACCTGACCCAGGTTCTGACCCAGGCCCTGATTAGCAATTCTGCTGAAGTTTAAAAACAGCAGCACTGCAGGAGTGGGACAGTGCCTGGGTGTGGAAGGGAGGGTCCAGAGGTAGGGGAGGGCCATTCCCATCATTAGCTGGGTCTCAGCTCTGCTGGCTTTTCATGTCCAGGGTTTGACCTTCTGCCTTCAGAGGTGAGTTTCGTGTCATGGAGATTGGTGAGTTCTTATCTTGCTAGTAGGGTGGACCCCAGCTCTAGCATTTTATGTCAAAGTCCGAAGTCCGGGGGAAAAGAGTTGTCTGGTAAGGGGAGGGGTCTGGTATTCCTAGCTCTGGGGATAGAGCAAAGGAGGGATTGGTGCTATTGACTCTTCCTTCTGCTCTTTTTAGGAAGCCTTGTCTTATTCTTAGGATGAAATCCTAGTTAAATGGCCTTACTGCCTTAAAGCTTTACCCAATTGGGGGCCTGGGCAGCTGGCCCGCCCTCATCACACGGGGCTGAGAATGTGGGTGCTTTGTGCTGTCACCCTCACCAGGGCCCAGACTGCCTTTGTGTCTCAGTTAAAGGAGTCCAATGCCTGTTAGGGAAAATTTGTTAAATTAGCTAAACAAGTAACTACGAATCATGAGGACCCCAAATTATCATTTGGGGGAAGATGAGAATGAAAGGACTTGGTTGAGGAAAAAAAAGCTCAAGTTCTAACAATTTTTAATTTAGGTTAAAGTAGTCACAAACATGCAAAAACTGTCCCACATTGTACAGTGACAAGTCTTTCTCCCCTTCTTTCCAGTGTGCCAATTTCCATCCCCAAAGGCAAGCACTCTTCCTAATTTCTTATGTGCATACAAACATATGCAAAGAAAAGTTCTCATTTCCATTCTTTTATACAAAAGCTTCATATTATACACATTGTTCTGAATTCACTCCTCCCCCCCATTAACACCTTGGAATTTTCCACATCCATGATTTAGTGTCCTTGTTATTTTTAACAGTTGTGTAATATTCCACGTTGTGTATACTATAACTTATTTCACCAGTCCCCTCCTATGGCCATTGGGTTTGTCCAGCCATCTGCTATCACAAACGATGCAGTAGTGCTTCAGCTTGTACATGTATTTTTTATTTTTTATTTTTTTGCATACATCCAAGTGCATCTTTAGGATAAATTCCTTAAAGTGGAAGTGCTAGGTCAGAGGATAACTGCTTTGTAATTATGGTGGATATTGCCTTCCTTCCTCCATTGGGGAGGCAGGAAAGGAGACTGTTTAGAGCCAGACAAGGCAGCATTTGAACCTCTTCTGTGTGCTTTCTAGCTATTTTCTTACCCAGTTTTAAAACTCTGTAAAATGTGACCCATACAGTTGTGAGGACAAAATGGGGTCAGCTATGTAAAGCGCTTGGTTGAAGGCCAAACACATAGCAACAGCTCCATCAAGAGTGATGGAGGCTGAGATACAATTGCCCACTGTGTCTTCCCAAAGGCAGGCAGCCTGGGTTCTCCAAGGTGCATGCTGGAGCATTTGGGGAGAGAGGGTGTCTGAGAGCCCGCATTTGAGCCTAGCCAACAAGGCATCGGTTCCAACTGGGAGGTGTCCTCCCCAGCCCCACTGTTGTTTTGTCCCTGAGGCTTCTGATATGCCCTGTTAGTGGCACACTGGGTCTCCCCAGGGCCTTCTGGGGCTGCCTGAACGAAGGCACTTGGTCCGTCTCAAATTCTCTAAGCTCTGGTCCCTGGGACAGTCCACAAATAAATGCACTCTGTGCCATTTACTGTGTGTTTGCCACTCGCCTTAACTCATTCTGAGTAATCTACACACGTGATTCCATTCAGTTCTCAGCGATCTCCCATAGGGTAGGAAAGATTGCTATCACCACCAACCAACCTCTCCATCACTCTGTGACCTTACCCCATCCAAATGGAACGTCTGGTTGGCATGACCTCTTCTGAGCTTTTCCATGCTGTCCCCTCCAGGGGGAGAGAGGCCCTGTGATGTGAGTGTAGCTTCCTATTGCCATATATTTTATTTACAATGGGGATGAGGATTTGACAAATATACCGCCAGATTAAAGGGTGAGTTGGATTTTATAGGACCAGAAATGCAGTCCGTGTGTTCAGAAGGAAAACCATAATGCCCCGTGTTTACATCTCAAGATGTCTGTGTAAAAGTTTTCACCATTGCTGCCAACACTTAGGATGAAAAAGTTAGTCGGCAGCCAACCTTTTGAATCCTCTCACCATGAGAGGTATCCTAAGGAGACCCCAAACAGCACATCTGCATATCTATATCTGTTCTCTTGTTTTGCTACAGGGGATCAGGACGAATTGGGAACGTGGGGTCTGTTTGGCCCATTTCTCAAACCCTAGAACCAGGTGGCTCAGGTACTTCGTCGATTTAAAAACATGAGTAGAGAGAAGGAAGAGGCCTCGTTCAGTATTCTCAGAATTTATGATGAACCAGATGATGGGAGGAGTGAGCTCGAAAGCCCTGGCATTTCCTCCCAGCATGAGCTTCAAGCGCAGTCCCATCTGAACGGGTTCTATGGCACGCCCCCGCGGCCCCCAGGTGCCCTGCAGCGTGGCCCGGTTTATCCAGCTATGAGCCCTCTGACCCCGCAGCAGTGGGCCCTCCAGACCCTGGACAGATCTGAGTCCCAGACCAGTTGGCTGTCTGAGGCAGAACCAGGAGAAGCAGCAGAGTTCAGCCCCAGGTAGGTCTCGCTTGAACAAGACTGGGGTGCGGGGGGCGAGGCTGACCTGGGGAGAGGGGATCCTGGCACGGAGCTCTCCATTTCATACTGTCCTCTTCCTCTCTCCTCTCCATTTGTCATAGCGGCCTACCAGGATCCGAGTTCGGTAAGTTCCAGTCAGGACGATGTGGGCAGGGAATATGGTAGCCCAAGGCTGGGCCTCAGATGGGGGACTAGGAATGAGGCCCTGGTATCAAGAGAGCAGCCTTCTCCCCAAGTGCTGCGGTGCTGTTGCTGCCGGATGCCCTCTCTGTGAGCGGGTGGGATTGATATTTCCCTGCAGGCCAGCCTTGTCCTTCGCCTCCTCCCAGTGAAGAAGTCTGTTCATTCCTCGGAGCAATTGTAAGTGTCTTCTTGTTTTTAAATTTGGGATCTTTCCCTTCCCCATGACCCCCACCAAATTAGAAGCTATTAGGAAGAAGGCGATGGGGTGCCATGTGTCCATACTCTAATTGTCTTTCCCATGGGTAGTGTGTGTCCTATGGCTCCCTGCTTCTGCTGCCAGCAATATGCATGGCCTTCAGCTCACAGAGCTATTTCCTAAAGGACTCTGAGCCAGGCTCTGCTCTCATCGCTGGCGCTCAGGATTGTCTCAAAACATGGCCGTGTTTATCAAGGAGGGAAACCCGGGCACCGCCTGGGCTAGTGCGGAAGGATGTCAATGGTCTGGGGAGCCCAGATGACACAGTTCTGCGTGGGGGTCATAGAGGAGCTGCTGGATGAATGGTTAGGAACACAGCCAGAGGACGGGCAGCCTATCCCCCATGGATGATGGTAGGCCAGGGCTATAACCCGTTTATGGCTACCCACCGTCTCCTGTCCCCAGCCTCCTGTTGCAGATGAAGTGGTGGTGAGGCAGAGGACCCCACGTGAGTCCTGGAAGGTTGGCAAACTTCGCCACGGCAAGAAAGTCTATGCTGTTGCCATCAGCAGCTCAACTCACCATGTGTACACATGTGGTCACGGCTACATCAAGGTGTGGGACGAGAGTGCTCTACATGCCTGGAACAAGGCCCCTCAGGCCCAGCTGAACTTCCAGGTGAAGGGGCAGGTGAAGGGCAACCCAGACGTGACTGTCAGAAGACTCGGAGCCTGTGCTTCGAGGAAGCGATATGAGAATGTAAACCGTTTTTACAGGACCATCAGAACTGTGTCCTCACCTGCAAGCTGTTTCCTGACGAGCAGAGCCTGATCACGGGGGGTCTGTCCCGTACTCTGACTCTGTGGGACCTGGCACCCACACCCCGCATCAGGGCACAGCTGGCCTCAACCGGCCCCATGTGCTACTCCCTGGCCATCTCCTCCAATGCCCAGATCTGCCTGGCTTGTTTCAAAGGATTCGTTGAGATTTGGGATTTGCAGAACCAAATCTTGATCAGGTGTGACCCAGGGGCGGGGGGAGGGCTGATGGTAAGGGCTTTGAGAAGGCACATGTCCCTTTCTGGACCTCCCTTTCCCCTCTGTGTGGCAGGACTAGGTGAGCCAGTATGGAGAATATAACTGGGGGCCTTCCAGGGCCTTCTAGGGGTCCAACCAGGGCCTGAGCCTTGAGTTGTTTTCCCACCAGGAAGCACGAAGTCCCCGAATATGGGTCCCGATGTGTAGACATTGCGGGCAATAAGTTCTGGACCGGAGGTGAAGACACCAGCCTATATTCCTGGGACCTGAGAAGCTACCAGAAGCTGCAGCAACACAATCTACACCATGAGGTGCCTGGTCGGCCACCACCGGGCTGCGTGTAGTCTGCCGTGGCTAGGAGCTGCAGGCACCCGCAGGAACGGGGTCGAAGGATGTGTTGGCATCTTTAAGGGCTGACTCCAAACCTCCTTTCCAACAGATCCTCAGCATCACCCATGACCCCAGTGAAGAGTGGATGTTAGTGGGCTTGAGAACGAGTGATGTCATAATCCTCCACACCCACCGGAAGGAGAAGTTTAAGGCCGTCATACACAAGTACATCCACCACCACAACCTCAAGTTCGCCTCCTGTGGTGAGTGAGAAGCCAGGTGACACCTTGGAGTGTCCTGTCTATATAGTGGACAGTGTCCTGTCCACTATAGGGTGTCTACTCACCCAGAGAATCTGGGTCCAACCTTATTTCAGACTCTTAATTCCTCCTTCTCCAGCCCCAACACTGGCCAAGTGGAGGTCCAGGTGTCCACTTTCCTACTGCTCTTGCCTCTGCATCGGCCTTCCCTTACCCCCACCTGTGTTTCTCCCTCTGATGCCCTGGCCACCTTTCCTGTCTTCTCTCTCTGCTCACCCCTTGTCTTTTTCTGACTCTCTCTGAAATGGGAACTCCCTTGACAGAACAACAGCCTGAAGATGCTGACAGAAGAGGCATGAAGCCCCAGCCAATTGTCCTTCTGTTCAGGATACCATGGTCCTGTGTGTGGCTGGAGGATGGGGGCAGATGAGGGAATGGTTCAGGTTGTGTCTAGTGATTCTTATAGTTGGGGAAACCGAGGCAGAGAACCCTTTTTCCCTAGTCCAGTTGGGAACAAAGCTGGGACTACAATGCAGTATCTGGCCCTTCCATCTGTCTTTCCTTCACAGGGAGCTATTTTGTGACCACACTGGACGAGTCGATACACTGCTTAGCTGCACCTTCTCTACAAAGGTTGTTTCAGGTACTGGAAGGAGGGACATGAAAACCCAGACACTCAGAGCCGTAACCCCAGATGCCAGTTGGTCCAGTCCCAGAGATAGTGCTGGAAAGGAACTCTGAGATGGCATCCGGGGCCATTTACTAGATCAGAGGGAGTGAGGACTCAAGGCCCTGTAAACTCAGAGGCTCCACCTTAAGCCCTGAGACCTGTCCCCAAACCAAGCTTTGAAATGAAGAGCCCTAATGGAACCATCCCCTCTGTCCCTGCATGCAGTCCCTTTTTTGGCTTCTCTTTTCCTCTAGGTAGAAGAGGCCACAGAAATCCTGTGTTGCGATGTGTCCTCTGACAACCAGTATCTGGTCACGGGTTCCAAGAACAGTGCCACGGTTTACCAGCTCTTGTATTGAAAGTCACGTGCCATGGTCCTGCTGGTGAAGACCCGGAGAAGGCCAGTGTGCTGAGAGACTGACCTTGGGTGCCGGACAGCCTCCAACGCCTCCCACGTCTCCGCCTTGTCCTCCGTTGCAGGTCATCTATCCCGTTCCCCTCCCCCCAACACTCACACCGAGCCTGTACTCCTAGGTTTTTATTGTATGGTGTAGGGATTTTTCCTTTGTTATTTTTCTACCACTGACTGCTGGGTTTTGGTGGGAAAACTTGCCTTTATAATTAATAAAATAGAAAAGCACAAACCAAAATGGCCTGGATATATGGTCCGTTCTTTCCATTAACGAAGTCATTGTGGTGGATTGCTTATGCCACCACCACTTCATTCAGCAAATTTCAGTGTGGGGAAGGAATTTTAGACCAGACTGTTCTGTTTATAACTCTTTTCAGGGGTCAGGGAATTTTTGGAATCTTAAGAAGGCTCAAGAAGAAATGCATGTACATGTACAAACTTCCAGATTGTGTCAGAGTTGGCAGACCAACAATGCGCAACTCTCAACCCAGATGGAGACTTTATGAGCTGGTCTAATCCTATCCCATGGGAAGGCTTGCTCCTTTTAGCTCCTACTTCATGATCCTTCACTTTGGCATTTTGTGACAGTCAGGAGCTGCCTATCTCTGTTTCCTCATGTTTGAGGATGTGAGGATGTAATATTTGTCTGGCTTTCTCCAGGCTGACAAAGCCCCAGCTTCTGAATTCAAGTCAGGTGGACTTGCTTTCTAGTCTTTTTCCATCCTGCCTCCCTTTTACTTATTGTTGGTGTGGCTGAGACAGTTAAAGTCTGCAGCCTAGCGTTGTCATTGGGAGAAGGCTACAAAGCCAGGGACCGAGTGTGCCATCCTTTGCATTGAAACGTTGTTGGTTACCTAGTTCTTGCTGACAGATCATGATTAGAGGATGTGTCTTATTTCTGGGCCAAGGCTTAAGAAGTCCCCTCCTGGCTGTCTATCCTCTTCTACCAGCACAAGGTGAATGACATGAAAGCCCTAGAGGATTGCAGAACCATGAGGTGGAAGCATCCTGTGCCCACAAATCAAATGTGGAGAAAAGCTTCCCACTTTGGACTGTTACATGGAGGAGAAATAAACTTACATTTGAGCTGGTATAAATTTTGGAGTCTATTTGTTACTATAGCCCTAGAAACAGCAAACTTTTACTTAGAAGGCCAGGTAGTAAATATTTTAGGCTTTGCCACATGTTTCTTTGCCCCATTCACTCAACCCGGCTGTTGTAGCATGAAAGCAGCCACAGACAATATGTAAACAAATGAGTGGGACCATGTTCCAATAAAACTTTATTTACAAAAACAGACTGGCCAGATTTGGTCTTCTGCTGGCTATAGTTTGCCTACCCTGCCACAACCAGTGTGCCTCAATATAAGTGCTTAGCATCCATGTGGAAATATGATACAGAGGGTAGAGGCCAACAGTAGATCTATTCTATTGGACTGTAGCAACGAATAGACTCCCAAATTTATGTGTCCACTGATGGATGAATGGGTAAACAAAATGTCATTTTATGTGAATATAATCATGGACCGCATCGTGATGTTTTGTTCAGTGATGGAGCACACATACAATGACAGTCCCATTAGATTAAATGGAGCTGAAAAATTCCTATTGCCTAGTGACATTGTAGCCATCATAACACCATAGCACAAAGCCTTACGTGTTCATGGTGATGCTAATGTAAATGAACCTGCTGTGTGGCCAATCATATAAAAGTATAGTACATACAATTACGTACAGTACATAACACTTGAATAATAAATGACTATGTTACTGGTTTATGTATTTAGTATACTTTTTATCGTTATTTTAGAATGTATTTCTACTTATTAAAAAAAGTTTGCTGTAAAACACTATGTCACGTTACACAGGCAGCAGCCTCACATCTCTTACTTCATGTCTTGATTACACCATTGTCTTTTGTGCTGGATTTAATATTGTGTTGTTTTGTACAGTAGCATTCTGTACAGGCTTGTAGCCTAGGAGCAATAGACTATACCATGTAGTCTAAGTGTGTAGTAGGCTCTGCCGTCTACGTTTGTGTAAGTCCATCCTATGATGTTTGCACGATGACAGAATCACCTAAGGGTACATTTCTCAGACCATTTTCCTGTTGTTAAGCAGTACATGACTTTATATGTACTGGGATAGTACAGTCATTACTGTATATGTACTGGGATATTACAGTCAGCCATTAAAAGGAAGGAAGTTCTGACACAGGCTGCAACACGGATCAACCTCGAAGATATTATGCTAAGCGACATATGCCAGTCACACAAGGACAAATACTGTGTGATTCCACTTTTATTATGAGTTACTTATTAATAGAGACAGACAGTAGAATGGCAATTACAAGGGGCCAAGGGGAGAGAGAAATGGAAGATTAGTGTTTAATGGGTACAGAGTTTCAGTTTTGCAAAATGAAAAATGTTCTGGAGATGGTGGTGATGGTTGCACAGTATGTACTTAATGCTATTGAAGTGTATACTTAAAAATGGTGAAGATGGTAAATTTTATGTTGTATTTTACATAATTTTAAAAAGCTAGGGATAAATTATAAAGATGAAATTCAGAACAGTGGTAGTCTCTGGGGAGGGAAGTAAAGAAATAGGGTCATAAAAGGATAAAAAGAGAACTTCGACTCTATTTGCAATATTTAGTTCTTCAACACTAACGTTCATCAAAATTAAAAAATGGGTAGTTCAGAGGAGACCATCAAGAAAGTGAACAGACAACCCACAGAGGGGAGAAAACGTGCAAACCATATTTTAGTAAAGGACTTATATCCAAAAAATATAAAAAAATTCTTACAACTCAACAGTAAAAAACAAGTAAACCAACTTTTACAAGGGCAAAGGAGTTGAATAGACATTTCTCCAAAGAAGGTATACAAGTGACCAATAGCACATAAAAGGAGGCTCAACGTTGTTGGGGAAATGTATGTCAAACCCACGGTGAGATATCACTCACTTGCTAGGATGGCTGGAAGGAAAAAGACAAAAACAAGTGTTGGTGAGGATGTGGAGAAATTGGAACTCCTATACGATGCTGATGGGATTGTAAAATGGTGCAGCCACTCTGAAAATGGTTTGGTAGCTCTTCGAATGCTCAACATAGAGATACCATATGACCCAGCAATTTTACTCAGGTATATATGTCCAAGAGAATCAAAAACAAAGGCATATAAATTGAGAGGTTAATAATTGGGAGTGAAAAAGTAAAAGAATTCTAAATTTTTTTTTCTGGAAAGAAGGTAAAAGTCCCAACTAATAGTAGTCTTGATAAGTCAAGGAATAGTGTTGTAATTTGTAGGTTAATTAACAAAAGAATATTAAGTAAGTGTGTAACTTCCACACTAATAGAACATATTGGAATATATAACAATATTTTTTATTATATTTATAATTAATATAATCTTATTTTTCTTATATTAATATATTGTTTAATTTTGAATCAATATATTATTAATATACATAAAATTATAATAACAATAAAGCAATTGAAAGGAAGAAAAGGGAAGAAAAGCAACAAAGAGGCATAACAAACAAAAAAATCTTGTTAAAATAGTATATCCAAATTTAAAATTTAAATACAAATACATCAGTAATTATGTTAAATGTAAATAGAATAAGCATTATTATTAATCTGTTAATATTATATGACTGATGATTAAAAAAATCTCAAATGTGCTTGTTTAAAAGGAACATTAAAACATGATATGAAGTCTGAAAATAAGATATTTCGTGTACACACTAAATCAAAGCAAGCTGATATTAGACCACATATGCTCTAAAACAGAAAGTAGTATTTGAGAAAGGTGAACACTTCGTAAATGTTTGGGTTTAATTCACCAGGAAGATACAAGCGTTCTATTATATTTTATGCATTTATTAATGTCTCAAACTTTATGAAGAAAAATGGACAAAAATAGACAAATCTATTGGTAATCAATAGTTGAAACAAACAAAAAAGAATATAGAAGATTAAAAAAAGGCTACAGAAAAGTTGAATAACATGATTAGGAAACTTAGAACTGCATACCACCACTACATATATACAACATGTTTACAAAACTTGACCATATTCTGAGCCACAAATTCCAAAGGATTTAATTCTTACAGGATATATTTTATGACCACATTGCAATTAAGATAGAAATGGATAGTAGAATAAAAACTAGAAATTTCCTTATTTTTGAAATTAAGAATAACTAATAGAGACTAAATCACAAAGTAATTGAAAGCTGAATAATCAAAAGTTGAAAGGTTCAGGGAGCATTTGAGATCCTGCTTCCTGTCAGTTTGGCTCAAATAAACTAAAAAAATTCTCTACAAGTTTGGGCATTTCTTACATCAGCATTTACTTGGCGTAGTCTGCAGGATCTAAAGAAGCCCTCCCAGGACCACCTTGTTGACCAGGACCTGGTGCTAGGTACCAGCAAGGGCCCATCATGCCCCACTGGCTCCCCGCTTCGCACAAGGTGAACTTAGGTGAATCTCTCTCTGGACCTCCTTGCTTTTAAGTAGCAGGTCCATGACTTTATTTAAGATATTCTAAGGAAATACCCAAGATGGGTAAGGTCTGAGAGAACTCAGAGAAAAGAAAAAAAAAAAAAGGTTTGCTGCTTTTAATTGGATTGCTTACTGAGAGTCTGAACAAAATCTTCACTGGTTAAATGAAGAGACTGAATTCTCTTTAGTCCCTAAAGAGAAAGGACACTTGCTTCTCCAATCCGAATAGCCAATGAGATGACAATAGTTGTTCAGATCACTGAATCCAGAGCGACTGAGATGGGCACCTGGTGTCATTCAGTGCAGTTCCTGGAGAAGCTGGCCTGGAGAAGCTGGCCTGAGCCCCAGGGTGGGGGTGGGGGTGAGGGGATGGAAGGGAGGGGCAGGGCAACCAGAATGGGTTCACCTGGGGAAAGAGAGGCAGAGGCCTTGGTGGAGTC